GAGAACTTCCTGTGTTGCAGCAGTGAGATGGTGTCAAACGGCTTTTAGGGAACTGGCCAGATGAGCTGAACTTGTGTGTGCTTCCAGCAGGCAGAGGAGACATGCTGAACACATGCTACCTGCCATCAGCAGCCCTGTGTTTGCCAAGAATTGCAGCTACCCCATTGCATAAACCATCACACAGTACACATTGTGCAGACAAAGTGTTTGTGTGTGAATGGCTCTGTGTAGGTGTGTGGGGAAGTTCACACATATTAACAGGTTCATATTTTAAAATTAGTACCAAAAGTCAGGGTCTTTTATAGCCTGAAGTGATCACCAGCAGACAGCATTCAAAATAGTAACTTAAGACCAAAAAAACACCTTATCTTACGCACATTAAAGATTTCTTTTTTGAAATGGAGAGAGAAAAATGGAAGTGCATGTAGCATGATAGAGCAAATTTATTCTGTTAGAGAAGGCTCAAGTACAGATTCTGTGCCATCAAAACCAAAGAGCAGCTCTGGTTCTCCTACAACGTTAGGCATGTCACTGTTTTAACCCTTAGAAAACTGGCTGGCTCACAACAAAATAACAATAGATCTTCCCGAACCATCTCAGTGAGTGTGATAATTTAATTCAAACAGCATAAAGCGATTAGTCTGTGTAAGGAACTTAAAATAGACAAAGCTACTTTTTCTTAAGTAGCTATTTCTAGCTCATTAGGCACAGAAAAATCCTTTACACTCAGCTTTTTGTCTGCACTCCATCAATTCAGCCCAATCAACAGATTTTCTCAATCTAGAACAAAGCAAAATGAAACAAGGGAAATTAAACAGTAAGTAGATCAGTCATCTCTGCTCAGCTTTCAAGGCTACTATAAATGTTTTTTTTTTCAGTTATGACAGCTGAAAACAATAAGCCAAATGAAAACTATGGCTGTGCTTTTAACAGCTGCATTATTTTCAAGAAAATTGAAAATCCTATTTTTAAAATACAACTTTATCCAACTCTTTTGTATGTACATGTATTTTCGGGCCTAACTTGATATTCTTCTCAGAATTGGAAAAAAGTCATTAAGTGGTTAAAAAATAGACACTCCTCCCAGTATTGATCTGTCCTGGTATGCAGAGGAATAGCCTAGCACATCATAGTCAGCAAAAAAGATTAAAACACCTGCTCCCAGTCATACCACAATATTTATTTCAGAAGCTGTTACCTATTATTTTATATAAAGTCTATGCTCCTACGGGCCTGGGGGTAGTTTGAAATATTTCATTGTTATGGATATTCTGCCACGTCTTTTTCAAAAAGGCCAAGAAGTGTGAAAGTGGCTGGATTTTCAGAGCAGGCAGGACTGACGGAATATATTACCCCACATTTTTATGGCAATGGATGGGTTTTCCTTGTCACAGGCAAAGTATGCATGGCAAAGTGGCAGATTTTTTAAATTAACATTTGAATCTGTTATTTATGAGTGCATTACCTGATGTCTGAATCTGAGGGCAAGCCCTGCTGTGCTTGACATGGTTTCTCACAAGAGGGTTTGAAAGGACCTCCACCTTACAAGTGGAGAGACCTGAGACTCTGTATGACTGACTGCTCCTGCTTGTCAGGCAAGGACAAGCATTCAGGGACTAAAGATTTCCCAGTTCTCAATGTCCTTGCTCCAAACACCGTTTTCTAAGGAGAATCATGTTAGCTCACTGCTAGTTCCCAAACTTGCAGATGTTAACAGAAGACCTTGTTGTTAAGGCAGGACCCTTTGACACCAGGAGCAGCCTAAGGCTGTGAATTTCTGACAAACTGCTCAACCAGCACAACATGCTTGGGGTGACAGGCATGTTCAGCCAAGAAAAGTGAAAAACACTCTGGAGCTCCTCCAAGATAGACCCACCAACAGTGTCAGTACTTGGTGGTGCTGACAGGGCTGGAAAATCTATCCATGCTGTCACTCAGAAGGCAGCTCTCTTTTATCCTGAATAATTATGAGAGTCAGGCATCCATTAAGCACATGCAAATAATCTACATTCTTCTGTGGACAGAAGACTTTTATATTTCCAACAAATTTACAAGTTATTTTGTGTTGTGAGCATTTGAAAATGGTTTTAGGAAGTATATCTAATGCCACAGGGTTTCTATTTAATTTTTTTCCCTGTAATTTATTTAAATTTCTGTTCTCATTGTGTTTTCTACAGCAGAGTGATAGTTGTATCTCTGTTCATCTGAGATACTGTTCTGGTATTTTACCATCACTGAAGAACTGCTTGAAGATGGTAGTATGTGCCTTTTAGGCATAGAATTCAAAAACACAAACACACGTGTGAGACTGAATGTGGCTGTAACAAAACAGTGAACTATGGAAATGACGTAGTAGTTTTGCACAACAAAAGGAAAAGTCAAAGTGCTTACAAAAGTACTTATTACCCTACCCATGCTACCAAGTATCTTATTCTTTAATTGCCATTAAAATGAATGTAAATATAAAAAGTGAAGAAATTGTTCAACAGAAAGAAACTGGAGCAGTTGAATATTAACTTATTTTTCATAGGAAATACAAAGCTTTCTTCCCAGCCTTAAGAATTAGACACAGTCTTGTCCATCAATGGATATTTTTTGCAGTCCTTGAGTAGGTGGCTCAATCTGCGCAATGCTGTTTCCTATAGACAAGCAGACTGCCTCTTCATATAAATGCATGTTGGCATTCAAGGTCATTTGGACTCTTCCAATTCATATTTCAGAAAGTGTGTTGCTGTTCTCAGAAAGGAATTGTAGTTTTTCCATAGGCTTTATGTGTTATAAGTGACAGGACACACTGACCTTTCTGAAGCAACTTCTGGAAAATACACTAGGAGCTTCACCCATCAGTAGTGGTCTTTATTCAAGGTTTGCAACAAAGCTCAGTACTCTTTTGGCCTCTAAAGGCATTTTTTAATCAACTTATGAATGATAATTTAATGTAATTTGTGACACTTCTGTTTAGGAAGGGTGACTTGAAGAGGCATGGACCTGTTTCCTTCCTATTAATTAATCTAAGAGATTTGTTTATTAGAATTAAAAGTTATTTTAAAAAAAAGAAGAATGTTGTTTTCCAAGTTACATAATTATTCTATCAATAATCAATGGAAGTTAACTTCTGGATTTCATGTAAGCATTCTATATGTGATTTTGACTGGATTACTAAACAGTGTTTTGCTGTTCATGTAGTTTTTATTGTGTTGTATGATAAACTGTATCTATGATCATAAAATAAATCCACTTTTCTCAAAAGCAGCTTTCAATTCTGTTGTCCTTCCTGTACTGAATAAAATTTGCTGAAAAGTACAAAGAGAAGAGAAGCAAGCAATTATAGAAATAAAGAAGAGCTGTTCTTGAGAAGTGACATTTATAAGTCAAAAAAGCTATATGATTTCATATCCAAATAGCTGGTTGTCATTATTTTTTTCCTTACGGTAAACAACTCCATTTACAATCAATCTTTTGCTGAAAAATTATCTTACAAAAATTTAATTCAGGAAAGAGAGTTTGTTTTTTCCTAGCGACTGTCTTTCCAACAGCTTTAATGACCCTGAAGTTAAAGGGCTCAGAGACTGTTTACACTTATTTACAGCTATGGGGCATTAAATTACCCTGCACAGGTCTTAAAAACTCAGCTCAGAGTTCTCAGTTGCATGTTATACACAGTATTCAAGCAGAGTCCATCCATATACTAGTGTGTAGCTTTATTCATGGAAGGGGTTTGCTGTCAAGTACTTCTAAATGTCAAAGCTCCTTAAGAATAAGAATTAATAAATCTAAGAATACTTGCAGTTATTCCTGTCCAAGTGTCGGAACTCAAAATGTCCCTCAGACATTTTTAGAGGTTCCAGGCCTTGGTCAGAAGCATTTTAGACCCTGGCAAGCAGCTGAAAACAGCTGTGATCTTGAGTTTGAACCATGGAATGAATTACCAACTTTAAAGGTGGAACAAGCAGTCACAGAGGGTTAGATGATATAGTAAAAGTAGTCACAAATTAGAGGGTAAAATTTTTTAGTATTGTACAGGGGGGTTTTAACACCTGTACAGGGGGGTTTTACTTTGTACAGGGGGGTCAGGAGTTCTAAGATGGAGGAAAGTGGGCCTGATCCTGTTCTTCCTCCTTCTTCTTCCTTACCTCCATGTTCTTGGTGATGTTGGCATTTTTCTATTGGTTTAGGCTAGGGACACACTATTCAACGTAGATGATAGATATTGGCACATTATTGTAAATATAGTACACGTAATTTCTTGTATATAATGTTTGTACCATCCCACTGAGGGGCAGAGCCCCACACACTGCCCTGCAGGACAGACCTGCGGCAGGGCAGCAGAACTTGTTATAGATAAGCAAAAATAAACAACCTTGAAACCAGCACGGACGAACTATGGCTTCTTCTTTGGCAACGGGGCAGAAAGACAGAGACTTTCTACAATCTCGGAATCACCAACACCCACAGATTCCGACATCCAAGAAGGTCAACTAGGTCTAAAATGTTAGGTCCTTTTGGTACCTAAAGGAGATATTTGTTTGTTTCCTTTTCTTGTTCCAAGAGTTCAATTACTTTTCATTACCAGTGGAGTTGTAATGGTATGAAGATAAAGCTGAAATATTTCACATGGTGAACTTCAAACCATCACATAAGAATCTGGCTGCTCCTGGTCCATGCTTGTAGTGTAGCAATTCAGAGGCAAATTTGCCTCATGCTAGTTAGACATCCCTCATTCATTCTCTTCTTCAGTCTCTTATGTGTTTGCATTAAGTTCAATCTTGTCACCTAAATTCAGAGTAACATTTATACTGCTATCAAGGCCATTGTTCAGGAACCTGTGCATAGCAAAAGACAGTTATTGCTGTCTTCAAAATATTTAATGGTTATGGTCATAAGCATTTGGAAATTACTGTTTTGAGGGCTTCTGTCCCCTAGACATTTAATAAACCAGAACAGAAACTTACGTTACTCAAACAAGACAATTTAACAAATCTGAATAAGCCTTCAGAAACTTGTGTAAAATAAACACATTTATTAACAAAATGTTAGACAAATAGAATGCAATTCTGTCATCTTTGTTCACTGATTGCCTTTTGCAGTCCTGAAAACAATGATATTCTTTATTAAATACAGTACTTCCCTTATAATACTTATAAAGATTGCCTATTTGCTAAGTTCAAGTGCTTATTTAGAGAGGACTTAGGTTTTTTATTTAAATTCCCCATCCTTAGTGTCACAAATGTTTTACAGATAGGTAAAATTGTTATGTACTTGAACTAAAGTTTTCAGACTTAAGTAAAATATGAAGAATACTTCAAAAGTCTTTGACCATTTTATTAAAAAATATGTTTTAGTTAATATGTAGTGGCATAAGATTAAATTCATAAATCATTAAGTAAATTATATGCTTCTGCAGATATAATCAGATTAAAAAATTAGTATTTTAAAATCCCTCAATATGTTATCTTCTCTGTGCTTTCATTATTCTTTCAAACATGGTGCTTATTCACTTTATTTCAGCTGTAAGGCTTCTACCTTCACCTCTGTCTCACTTAAGAATCCATTAAAAATGTATTAATTCCTTTAAAACATGCAAAGCAATACAGCTTCCAGGAAGAAGAGTCACGTAGCCAAAGAGCCACAGAACTCACTGCAAGAATATCGATAAATAAAACATCAGTTAATTACAGTTTAAGGCTAAATCCTTGGCTTGTGGAAACGGGCAGCCACTGTCTACAGTAGAGCCCAGATGCACTGCCATCTTCAAGTTCCAAGTCATGGCAAGTTGCTTTGTTTCTCCATAAAGCAGAACATTGTCTATCTCAATAGTATTTCATTATAATTCTTACACATCACTAAGAAAGTTGCATTCTCAAAGACAATATGTTGACTTTGAGTCCACTCCAATTATATACATTTGAAAGTAGATTTCTCTGAACAGTTAAAAGAAAGCTTGGTTCAAATTACTGCATAATATGAATTAAAAAAAAAAATCACAAAAGTGCATATATGTATGTATGTATGTATGAATACATGCAGAAGGAAGCCACACTGCTACTTGCAGTGCAGCCAGCTACCACTATAAGGCATTTATTGCTGTAGATACAGTCCTGTGTTGGGTCACAGGGTATATTTACATGAATGTAAACTTTATCCCTTGGTTTGAGAGATCCCTGGAAGGTCTTCATATTAGGGAAAGGCATAAGGCCCAGAGCTGCCTGAAAGTGGCACTTTATTTTAGGACCAGCCTCATTGAAATCACTGAATTAAAGTTTTATTGCAAAAAGAAGAAACTATTCTGCACCAAACTGGTGACTAAGTTAGTACATCAACTTTATGGACTTTAGAAGAGCAGATATTGAATGATTTTTTTTTTTCATTTTCCACTAAGTTAATTTGGCAGAAACAATATCACATTTCCCATTAGCTTCTAGAATTCTGAAGTGGCCAAACTTAGAATGGCAACTGAACACACTGAAAGGCATCAGCACTAGGAGTAAAATGTTTCCTTCCAGCTCCTAGAAATCCATCTCAATGGCATTTCTTCAGCAAGTGAAGAGTTATATTTTTAACTGCAAGCATGGTCTCTGTGCAGGTTGGTTTGATCAGCATTTCAGGAAGCAAAAATCCAAAATGGCCAGTGTCACGCAGCTCGAATGCAAATGCATACGGGATGCCATTTTTGTAGGCCCAGTCCATAGAGCTGCCAGAACTCACATCTGAAAGAGGAAATTCAGACAAAGCATTAAAAAAAAAAGTTAAATGCAGGTTGTGCTGAAATCACCAGAGGGTTCTTGTGGCTTTTTGTCTCTGGGACTCAGTGAGTGTTCTTGCAACTCCAACTGTTGCTTGCCCTCATCCTGAACACCCTTCAGAGAATAGCATGAACACTCAGCACCTGGTGAAATGTGCTCAGCACAATATGGATTAGTCCCTTCATTTTCATAGGAAAAAATATTATAACTGTTTTGTGTAAAGCAAAACTTTAATAAAAGTGAATACCTAGAATAAAGCCTCAAACTGTTCCTGTCTCCATGTGAACACAGTCTGAAGCTTTCTTTCCTCAAAAATCTGCCAGCTAGACTGGAGAGCTCTGCATGCTTCTAGCTTTAAATTGGGTTTTTTAGGCAATTCATTTGCAGTGAGAAGGGGGAAAGTTGATTAAGTAATCTGCCATCTTCTTTTTAAAATGCTTTTAAAATTATTTTCATTTGTCTTTCTCACCATTTCCCCCCAGCGTGAAAGCATTTGCATAGGTGATGTCTAACACTAACAAACCTTCCTGAGGAAGTGTGCTGCTTATGCTTTGGTTATCTCCATATGTTGATTATCTAAGATACACTTTTTTACACAGATAAATCTCTCATGTGGCCTGCTATAATCTGTGAAATTCTAGCATTCATTCACACTGCTTTTCCTTTGACACAGGACTGACTGCAGTGTAATGAGCACAAGATGATGACTATGCTGTGAGATGGTGGCCCATGATAAGTGTAACTGTAGCTGAAACGCAGCAATGGCAGAGGAGATGCAGGTTACTTGTGGAAAGTCTTTAGCTTTTCACTTTTTTCACTGTCTGTTATCATTAACCACAGCATTCAGACCTCAAGGTTTCAGTAAAAAAAAAAAGTGTCTTGTTAAAGCCTGTTGAACTTCTTTCTTTTACCTCTCTACAGAGAGCTTGCCTGACAAGTGCGGTTACAACTTACTGCATTTGCAGTATCTGATAAAGATATGATTTATAAGACCTTATTTTTTCCTTTTAAGAAAAAAACCCACAGTTTTATATGGTATGAATATTTTGTTTGTTGGCTTTTGAGTCTCAAGTGCATTGCATTTTAATATCTTTTATTGCATCAATTGAGTTATTCTTACTGCAATCAACTGACTGAATCAGTTGCAAAACTTTCTTCTGCCTTCCTCACAACCCAAAACTGGAACAAAGTTAATTTTAAATAGTGTTTGCATTCTTTGTTATAATAAGGGTTTTCTCCTTACTGTAGGAAGGTCAAATTCACAAACCTGCAGAGGGAAACTTACACAAAGTGCTGGATGCAGGGCCATATCTGTATCTTACACCATAGGCTGACTGAAGAGCATTAACAGCATTATAGGCTGCTGATTCCTGGGGAGGAGGAAAAAAAAATCAAATACATAAATTAGACTTTGAATTAATTAATACTGTATTGTGATTGGAACCTGAGTCAATGGATCATTGACCTCTTGCACAATGCGTCTTCCACGAGTCCATGACAGCTAAGTTAAAATAATTGTAAAGGATAAATGCATTATTTATTTTTAATTACAGCAATTCCATGAAAAACTTGGTTTGGTATTTTCATGGCATAGAAGAGCTCACTGCACCATGAATGATCAGACATTAAGTATTTGTAATTATAGGTGTATTTGTGTCAATTTAGCAACATGACAAATTTAGATGACACCTAAAGACCATGAGATGAAATAATGTCTTTTTTATGCAGTTTAAAAGACATGCATGCATTTTCTGAACCTGAATTTTCCAGTTCACTAAACCTTGTCTCTGCTGGGCTTGTGAAGGAGAAATGATGTCTTGTTGACACTCACAGTGATTTAGTGAGCAGAGTGAGAAGAAGGGAGGAGACAAGTTCCATTCCTGAATCTCTGATCAGCAGGAAAATGTTCACTGCTGGTCTAACTTTCTCTGGGGCCTGATGATGTAGTCTTGGAGAGCTCTTTCCACTATTTCAGAAATGGAATTTCAGTCCTGTAGAGGGAAAATCAGTGCCTACATTGCAGCAGCTTGGGGGTGAACGGCTGTTTAAGGAGCTCACGGTTCATCCTATGAAACTGTGCAAAAGGCCTGGCCCATGGAAAATTCTGAGATTTACGTATGGATAGTGCATCAAAACACACAGAAAGGATACACATATTCAAAAGGAAAAGGAATATTACCCCAAAGAAAAGGATGCTGGCAAATATACAATGAAGGCTGGGAAAAAACAGTCATCTCTCTATAGAGAACAGGAAATTATTATCTTTGGAGCTAGAAACTCTGGACTTTGAACCACTGCATGAAGCTGCAATGGTTGTTTTATTTCCTTGAACAGAAGGTTTCTTTGGTTTATGCAAGTTTTCATGGTCTCAGGCCTTACCTTGTTATTCATCAGGCACTAAATGAATACACTGGGGAAGGATTGCACTCTACTTGCCTTTCTATTTATATGTTTTTCCTAACCTTCCACTTGTTTGCTCTTGTCAGGAGTTGGGATTCTGACTTAATTCTTGGTCTGACCCATGCAGGCTTTGTCTGTCCAAATAGAGAGGCCAGACAAAACTGCTTTAAATGTTATCCCAGAAACAAAAATAAGTTCATTTTCACTTCCTGGTGTGCAGGAGGTCTTTGGAGAGTTTATTTTACACAGTAACACCTCTTGCAAATGAAAGAGCACATTTTTACTCCATTACAAAAATTTGTTAGGCACAATCAGAATTTTTGTCTGTTTAGAAGAAGGATGATGGTGCTGGAGACTCTGCCTTTTTCAGTTTGACTTCTTGCCACCTCCACTGGAGAGTGTGCAGAGGCAAGGACCACTTAATTCAGTGTTGCTGGAACTTCTGCAGGCCTGGGATGTGGTTGCCGGCCAGTGTAAGGGGTAACCTCTGATTCACCCTAACACCAAAGATGAGAAGGGCCTGTCCTGTGGGAGAAGGGAGAAGTGCTGTCACTTGGCACTCTTGCTCCAGATGCTTTGATTTGTGACATGCAAGGGCCATGATGGGGTTGCAGTTACTGGACCCTGTGAGGGTGGCAGGGTGGCAATGTGAGGTCACTGTGGTGGCTGTGGCTGCACAGGGCCTGGAAAGAGGGAACTCCAGCTGCAGCCGGGAGCTGTTGTGGGCTGCCTGCACTGTCCCAAATAAGAGACTCTGTTGCTCAACCAAAATTTGCAAGCAGCTGTGCTTACCATCCCAGGGTAATGGTGAGGAGCTGGGATGGCCTGACAAGAGTCCTGATGCCAAGGGGACAGGGGACAGGGCTCAGCTGGGAGAGCTGAGCAGGCTGGGGAACAAAGTCCTGATAAATGCACCAAGGCAAGTAGAACATAGCCACAAACAAGAGGACTCCCTGTGCATGAATTATGCATTCTACAGCAATGAGACAACAGATAATCCTGTTGAAATCTTTCAAAGAAATAGTTTGGCAATGCCCATTTAAAATCAGCACAACAGTAATGAGGCAGAAACTATCTGGAGGTCAGACCAGGAACACCCCAAGTCCATGTTCACCACGTGGGCACGCATCCCTGGGCACTGGGAAGTTTAAGCTCTTAGCCTTGAGGAATGTAGCTGGCTTCCACTGTTAGATCCACATGCCCCAAAAAGGGACAGTTCTCAACTGCATCATACTGTGCAGGCTGGATCCTGAATAAATCCAGGCAACCAGTCTTCGAACACCCTCAAGGAGAAAATGCCACATAAAATTACCAGGTTTTTGTAAAGATGTACACAAACTCAGTCATGCCATATAAGTTCACTGCAAACACTAAGGCAAATAACAGTACAGGAAGAAAAAATATGAAAATCAGGTGAAATTTAAAACTCTTGAGATGGATGTGTGTTTCTGCTGGTGTTTTTTTTTAACCTAAAAGAGTACTTTCATTTTAAGCACCTTAAAAGAACAGAATTTCAGGAGAGTGTTAATAAGCGAGTTGTGCCTAAATTAGAACAGAATATGCATGGTGTGATCAGTACACAGCTCTCCAGTTTCAAAGCAGCTCTGAATAATTGAACACTTTAATTGAAATGGTAACTGACAGCTCACTAGAATGATCTGACCCAGACAGAAACAGCCTTTCTTCTGCTCAAAATTAATCATAGCCCACTGTTAGCACCAAAAGCTATTTATCTGCTATGCATGTGGGGTCTTACTGTTTTCCACTGCACACCGCCCACGTAGACCAACAATGCTTGTTCCATCAGTGTCAGGAAACAGAGATCTATCACTTTCCAGCTCACTACAATTTCCAAGAGAACTGGAGAATATGAAACCTCAGTCTAAGTCATCATTTTTGGGACTTGAAATTTTAAAAAAATATACATTTATGAGCCACTAGGTGATGGAACCTTTGGCTGTAGGCAAGTATTAAAATGCACAAATAAATAACCAACAAGTATTCCCTTAATTTTCACCATGATCCCTATAATGAGTTTTATAAATACTGGGAAATTACTTCAGTTTCCTATTTCAACTTCTCTCTTGTTTTTGACCAATCATAATGAAAAGAAGAATGAAGTTCAAATACTGACAAGACATTTAGAATTGGTATTTGGCTTTCATTTGTCTATGGGAGCTGTTTAAAATAGTGTCTTTTTTTGTTCCTTTAGGTCTGTGCCCTACTCCCTCTCATGAGAAGCCTTGGAAATTTGAGGAACACCTTCTAAACATCAAAAATTGGGATCCTTCGGTCTAAAAGCAATAGGTGGAAAGGCAGAATGTGTATGAGCTGAGGGGCACTTACGCCCCATCTCAGAATGGAGTTATCCCTTAAGCAACAAGAACAACTAAATATACTGGTGTATGTGAAAACTCTCAGATAAATCTTCCTTCTTCTTACAATGAATTTCCCATCTATAGCATCTGCTATTGCCTTGTATTACTCTGGACATTATAGTCACATACCCAATAATCATATACTTGCAGAGAAGTTGCTGATTCTTCTTAACACTACGTCTTTACCTTCTTCTCTGTTGTTTGTTCTTAAAAAAAAAAAAAAAATACTTGCACCCATGGATCTTCAAAGGAATGAGAACCTCTGATTTTAAATTCCCAGTCTGTTTTTTTGCTAACTAAATAGTCATCAATTCACTTGGAGAACTCCTTTCTCCTTGTCATTCCCCATAAGAATGTGAAGGTAGAATAAAAAAAAAAAAAAAAATCCACAGTCATTGCAGGGTGTGGTGGTCAGTCCCCACAAGTGTCATATTCTTAGCTCCTCTGGCTGCTTAGTTAACTTCTAGTTTGCTCTGTTTCACAGGAATGGCATCAGACAGAAGAATGTTTAATAGCTACTGAAATTAAGTGTCTGAACAGAAATAAACCCAGAGAGTTTAGTTTGCTCAGCCTTCTGAGGGAACAGCTGAGTGAAATTTCAGTGAAGCCCCAGGGACTGACAGCATCATTTATTCTGCACAGGATAAATCTAAGGTGCAGTTAAGCTCCTTTAGAGAAAACTAGCTTAAACCAGCAAGTTAAAAGTCACTGCAACTTTCAAGGTCAAAATGGGAGATAAATGGAAAATGTAATTTTACTCAGGACTGAGGGTGAAAGAAAGAGGCTTGCAACTGGCTGATGAAATGTGGGTCTGTGAGCAGGAGCAAACAGAGAGCAAAGCTTAGCCATGTGTCCCTCAGAGAATAAGCCATAAGGGGGATTTTATGAACAGGAGGCTGGCTAAAACAGACCTTAAACTGCAAACAGAGGGAATAGCTCTGCATTTGGATGAGCGTGGAATAAATGAAATGTACTCATCTGTGGATCAATAGGCTTACATAAAAAAGTGTACTATTTTAAATTTATTTTTCTAATATAGAGAAGCTTCTGGTTTTAATTACCCACTTGTCTTAAAGGGTTAAAAACACTATGTCTGACCTGAATGATAGCTAGTGCAATTGAAGCTTTAATTTTGGTGAAATCTAAGAGATTCCTCCTTGAATTGATAAACAGTTCCAATTTTATTTTGTTCATAACATTGAAGCATTTAAGGTGATCTTCTATGTGCTCCTAGTTTTTAAGTTCTGAGCATGGAGAGACAGTTTCAGCTAGATGCCCACAGACCTAACTACATAATTCCCATTACAGTTAATTAAATAAAATGATAATAACTATAATTAAAATTAGGGATTTATCATATAAAGTAATTTAAAGGGACTGATGGGTGAAAGGCATGATACCATTTTAATCAAATTACCACTGTCTCATGGTGAGTGAAGGTTATATAACCAGAAATGTGATTGCAAGTGGATCCAGAATAAATACTGCTCATTATATATGTGCAAAGTATTGAAGAAACAAGTCTCGTCTCAAGACAAAATGTACCAAAAATATACGGAGGAGCACATTCTCCAAGTTTTAATGTACTTACCACACAGTTGAAGTTTGGAATGGTTGCATATTTGTAGGAATAAGGGTACAGCAGCATCTGTGCATATGCATGGAAGGACAAATAGGCTTTTATTTGTTTCCTGTGTTTGCGAAGAAAGTGAGCAACAGCCTTTACTTCAGGCTCAGATTCGGGAAAAGGACCACAGTAAGTGTCGTCACATGGGTGTAGTGAAGCACCTTCATCTAGAGGTTGAAAGAGAAAGTTGGTGGTGAACAATCACAGAGAAATTCCAAGGGTCAGCTTCTGGCTCAACCTCTATTGGCCCATGTGCAAAAGTGTGAGAAGCAATAAACAAATTCAATTGCTTTCTTGTGCCTGATGGGCATGAGCCTGGGGGACCTCAGTACAGCAATCTGCTTTTCATCTCACAGACACACCAAGCCCCCAGTTGGCCAACTACTTGGGATTCTCTCCAGAGGATACATTCTTTCCAACTGAAAAAGGAGAACCAGAATTCATTGTATTTTCTTCCCGGCTTTTAGCATCAGCAATGCAGTATTAAAACTATTGATGGATTTCAGTTGGTCTATTTGAAATCAGAGAACTATACCTCTTTCATTAGTCACTCCCAGGACAAATCTAGCCTTTTACAGCTTTTAATGTATCACCTATGACCAGGTAATGTATTACCTATTACCTATAACCAGTGGTGTTTACAATGGTAGGTAGACAACTTAAACACGGATTCTCTTAAAAATATGATAATAGTTCCTGACTACTGCCTATTTTCACACCTGCAAACCTCATGGGAAAAAAACAAAACAAAACAAAACAAACCCAAAAAAACCCACAAAACCACACCAAAAAACCCACGTGGGATGACAGCTCAGGCAGCTAAAATAGAAATCACCTCCATTTGCACAGGGCCTAACTTTGCTTCAAATTTGGGGCAGGGGTTCAGTTTTGAGGATACCTTTGTGTCAACCTGCTCAGGTGGCAGCAAGCTGCACAAGAGTAACCTACATATAATATGCCATGAGGTACTGAAAGATGAAACTTAGGAAAGGAGAAGTGGTGGTGTCTCCTTTATAATTTAGCAATTCTGGATCTAAGCCATCATCTCATTTACAGCTTAGGGCCTGGGCCTAAAAGAACAATATTTATGCAAATCTACTCTGCTCTTGTACCTGCTGCAATTTCAAAATACCACACATTTTACATTGACCTGCATAATAATAAGTTTGTTTGCAAACTTCCCTGGAGCCATCAGGGACTTACAGCAACAGTGCTCTATTAGCTTTCCTTTGTATAGTAAGTACTGCCACCTTCAATTAATGAAAAGAGAGCTGTGTATGAGAAGGCATAATGATACCAACTAAAACGGGGTTATGCAATCAACTTAATGCCAAAAAAAAAAAAAAAAAAAAAAAGAAGTGGAAGAATTTCATGCTGCAGTTTCATCTGTAAGATGAAAATTGAGGTTACAATTCAATAGCCATAGGTGGGGATTTTAAAGGTACTTCAAAGGTGCTTGGATTGCAGTGAATATGGAAGGGTTATAGAGAGGGCAGATGGTCTTTTCCATGCAGAACAGATGGCCACCAAGTCATCCAAATCCCAAGAGCACTCTGCCTCAATTTCTTATCAGATAATATAGCTGCAGGACAGTTATTGAACAGCCTCCAGAGCATTTGCCCTTTTTTTTTTGTTTTTTTTTTTTTAATGTATACTTCATCTCCTGTTTCAGTGTTGTATACTGAATAATGGCAATGGATAACACTGTTAATAAACAATGGATCCCTACAAGCTAATGGTAAAATGACCCAATGGTAAAATATGGCTCAGTTTACAGACTTCCAGGGAAAGGGAAAAACTCTCTAAACTGTTCAGTTTACTATGATAAGCCATGTGCCATCCCAGATGTAGTTAATGCTTTACCTTAAGTGAAACTGGCTGGTGATAAAAAGAGGGTTTCCATGGTGGCCTTGGATAATGTAAGGGTATGCTCAATTTTTATACTGGAATTTCTTTTGAAGTAACTCAATAATGAAAAAAAGAGTTGTTGCAGTGTGTACAAATTCCTGTGACATTTCTAAGTTACAGTCATGAGAAGCAAATGGAATTGTGTAAAATGTTACCATGCTGCCTTGTTTTTGTACCTGATAGCATACTGGGGGAAGACAAGTATCCTCTAACATCCATCATGAGACCCAATGAACAAAGGAAATGTGTGCCAAGACTGATGAAACCAGTGCTCTGGTACAGAAGGAAGACTGAGAGGATGAATGAGCTGGAGCATGATTTCCAAACTTCCTTGCAGCCACTTCTGCCAGTATGGGATACTGTCTTCAGTGGGTACTGGGGTGCACTGGAAATTGGGATGTGCTGGAAATTTTAACTCCTACTGTTGCTCTCCTGGGGATTTGGATGCAACCACTTTAACTAAATTTGCCCTATGACTTAAATTAATTCTAAGTACCTGATTATTTGCTTAAAAGTAGCTATTATTTCATTATCATTAAACCATTGTACTAGTTATTGCACATATATGTGCATTGTGAGGAGCATTTCTACCCAGAGTTCTTGCTTCCAGTATTCACATGGGTCTGTGTGCAATTTGTGTGCACTGTTTTGAGTACAGGTTGCTGCAACATGAAACTAACAGTGATACGGCCCTTGGCTTGGTCCCTAGAGAGTCATAAAGCTTGCATCAAAGTCCTATACTAGAAAGGAAGAGGAAAGCAGATGGGATGCCGTGTTATCAGCACTGACTAGCTCACTGCTGATAGCATTTGGTGGCTTTGCTGAGGCCAGAGTCTGCCACTGCACACCTGCCTGGAAGCTCCACCGTGAAGTTCAAACCTGTCTGAAAACTCTTAAGTGCAACGGGACTGAATGAAAAGGTTTTTACAAGTGCATGCAGTTTTAAAGGTTAAACACACCATGATCACACATGCCTCAAGGTGTGATATGATCCAGATTCTTCTCTGACTCATCTAATATCAGAGAACATCAGGTGACCGGTTAGGGTCATGTGAGTACCAGTCAGCCCAGTTCATGAAAGACCTTTTTATTCTCCATTAAAATAGACAATCAGACAGACTTTGGGCTCCAAAGCAGGAAGCTGAGCATGTGCTTTTTGGGATGAGAAGCAGACTTGAAAGAATTTTTATTTTTTAAACTTGGGGTGGGAACCTGTCTTTCGTGCCAGTGCAGGGGAGAAATGCAACAATTAGGGGATTACAACAAACAACACCTGTGAGTATTGTTATGGTTTCACTAAGCCTAGAAAAAATAGTTTTTTGAATGAAAACTAAGCAAACATTTTTAGGACTGAATAAAAAATGTGTTTTAATACAGTGGCTACAGAGCAGGAACCAAAGAATTAATTAGAGTTAGAAAGAATATGCACTGAGAATTAATTTTGTACTGATAGGTATCTAACATACATCTCTGAGCACACTATAAGAGAACTGATCATTCCAGTTATGCCAACGGCTATTTTCTAAACAGTAAAAAAAATAAATAAAAATATCTGCAAAAAATATCTGCAGTTGTGGCTTACACACTTAAACAGTGGTAACAGTGATGCAGGACTAGTTCATTTTTACATTATTTTTGCAGCATAAAATTGCCTTAAAGATTGTCATAGAGCCCTGGGCCTGTCTTCTGTAAAGAAGATTTCCCAACTAACACAGGCGTTCTGTAAATGCTTCTGTCTCAGTCCTCTCCTTAGAGTGGGTAGAGTTGAAAACAATTTGAAACAAATTTCACAGGTCCATACAGGATTGAATGTATGCATCTGTCCACATTCACTTTTATCCTTACAATTCTGAAAGCCCTACTTAAAGAATCCAGCTGTTTCAAGCCAGACTGTACAGTGCTCACCCCTACTGCATGCAATCAGAGTTTTGTGGAAATATCTAGAGACTTCCAGTGGAAGAGGGATGGGTGAAGGCAGAGCCCTTGCACTACACAAACACAATTTCTTGTCTTTATAAGCCTGTAATGTAAATAAGGAAGTTGGACTAATGCTGGCTGAGACAACAGCTGCACAGAGAGCTGAAGGAAGTTCCTTGCAATGGGAAAGCAGGTCAGCAGGTATATATTGCTGTATTTAAGCGTTCTTACTTCCTTACACTAGAACCTTTAGGGGCTGCTTACCCCTGTGTGAATTGAATTATCTTTAGGTAAGATTTAAGAAAATACCAGTTTTTCTTGGTGTATCCATTCCAAATCTTCTGGCAGTTATTTCATTACCGCTGCATTCTCTATGCAAAATTCAGGCCAATTTTTATGAAGTACTTACAGAAGTGCTGGGAGTTTAAAATTGTATCTCCATGCATTTAGAAGCACTTTCTTTCTTTCTTTATTAACTCACTGATAATAATGGCCTTGATGACACTGAGGCCAGGAAAGTAAGTTTGACATTTCCAAAGCTAGAATAATTTCAGAGAAATGGTAAATTGCATAAAATGAAGCTTGAAATGTTTCTTGATTCTTCACTTAGGTAAATCTTGAAAAGTCATGGTTGATTCTCAGTGTTATGCTTAAAATTATTTATATGATTGCCAAAATGCAGAATAGCTGTATGTGTGATTTAAAAAATTTTGCCACATTTTCCATGACAAGTTTTTACTTATGATAAGGTCTGTTTTTCCAAGGTTGAGAACTTCTATTTTTTTAGAAGTTAGTAGGAAGATTTGAGCCTTGGCTTATGGCTTTATGGGAAAAAAATCTTCAACTTCAACTACAGCAAAGAGAACACTTCACAACAGATGTGATCTAATCTTTGGATAATTACCTCTGTTGGATAATTAAATACAGGGTAATCTGAACTGGAATACCAAAGTATCTCCATACTTACCACACCATTTCACTTTCCAGTTGCGATTAGCATCAACACCATGACAGTGAAACCTCATGTTCTTTGATCTTGTTTTTCTCCAAAATCGATCCTAGCATAAGTTACAAAATATTTAAAAAGTAATATTACTCTATTTTGGAAAAAATCTATTTGTACAGATAACTAATCAACCCTGGTAAACATATTCAGTATTCTGTTTTAAGTGGAATAATTTAATTCCCAGGCACAAAGTGATGGACCAGATTTATGCAGAGTCACCTTTGAATAATGTAATAACCATTTGATCTTTCTTGTCTGAATAATTTTTTGAATAATACTACTGCCATTACTTACATTTGTCCAGCTGAAATGATATCCATCCACATTAAATACAGGCATGATATAGAAATACAGCTGAGTTAGCATCTTTCTCATGTCAGGATCAGTCTGGTATGTCTGAAGAGCCTAAAGCAGAAAAGCAAAAGAAAATAATTTCCATAATAAAAATAATTTCCCAATTAAGTGTTGTGATAGACTATGACAGTCACGAAGCATTTGGCAGCACAGAGGTCTGCTCTCATGGCAGCACAGACATCCTTCCAGCTGTACCTGAAATGCTGACATCTTTCTGTAAATGTGATTAAGACAGTGTGTGAACATGTGAAAAAGGTGTTCTAAAGACTTTAGTCTCTCTGCTTCTCAGTTGCTTTCAATACTCAAGAAAATGCAACTCATTTTACAGAGAAGAAAACACATGCAAAGTTTTTCTTGAAGTAAGAGCTAAAAGTCAGTGGAATAGATTCTTAATTGAAGAAATGAGTTTAGCTCCTGCAAGACAGTGGAACCCTGATGTTTCCTCTAGGTGATTTTATAAGGTCTTGAAGCATTTAAGGCTCACATTAATAACACAGCTTTTGTTTATATTCAATTATCAATACAGGCACTTTATTCCTTTACAATTTAGACACCTCTCTATTTTTGGAGAACCTTTAGTATATATAGGTTAGTAAAAGAAGTCTAGATAGGGAAAGTTTTTTGGTTTTTATCCATTCTGCATCTTAGAGAAATGCAGCAAAACCAGAGGCTCCTCAGCAGTCCTATTTGCTAGTGCCCCAGATGTTCCTTTACCAGTTCCAGGAAGCTTATACTCCACATTCTCTTGCAAATACTGTCCGTTGACATAGCTGGGCATCAAATTAACATCCTTCCAAATTTAAGTCTTGATTTTATAAGGAATCCAGTGCTTCATGTGGCAGGTGGAAGGCATATCAAACTGACTCTGGGTTCAGAGGGATGCCTGAACCTGGCTCCTCTCCTCCTGCTACTGTGATTACAGCCTTCTGCTCTGCAGTATTTCTGGCCCTTCAGATCTGAAGAGTAGCATGTGTTTGGGGAGCAAAGGGAAACATTTGCTCTGAAATAAACTAAGCTAAATGCTTTTCAATTGACAAATGCTTGGGAGCAGTGTGAAGTACAGGAATGCAATAATTCAGGGCTCCTGACGATGCAGCTGTTTGAATTACTGAAGCTGCCATGGGAGCTGATGAATGCTTTGTGTGGAATATCTGTAAGAAATAACCATACATTTGGACATGTCTGGGGCTGAAATTTACTCATGGAGGAGTATGACATCTTTTTTCTTTACTGAGGGGATTAGTGGGACTTCTAAATACTTTTTCTATGTGGTTCATTAACCTCCCCTCTGCTGTGCAGCACTTTCTCCTTACCCAGCTTCATCTCACCCTCCCGAAGTGCTCTGCACGTGCAAGTCCTTCAGCCTCACTGTCAGATCCAAAGCAGCACATAATCCTTGTGAAAAGCCAAGTCACCCAGTGCTACTCCACACTGAGCTCCTCTGCTCCAGCCAGGCAAGAGGAGGGGACAGTGAGAAATAGAAGGCAAGGCAAAGCACAGAATGAAATGGGACAGGGTGGTGTGGCGGTCGCACCTTAGGATGAGATCCTGAAAGAAGAGAATGATAGTGTGCTTTTGAGGGGAATCTTGATGGACTGCCCAGGAGAAAGCCCCAGCCAGTGAGGCGGTCATGGGTTCTCTGGTCCATTTGCCAGAAATTCCCCAAAAATTAATAGCTGGTCTTACATTTAAGTTTGATTTACTTGTATTAAAAAGCCATATCAAGTTTTCAAATATATTTGGATAAAAAAAAAAAAAAAAGGCGTTTAGGGAACTGCAAAAAAATTAGTTTTGTCAAAACATTGATTTCTCAAATCAATGGATAGTCAAAATCAATGACCATGAAAATAACTGTGTGTTATTGTGATTTCATATGCAGATGACACATATTGAAGTAAACAGGGTTACTGTGTGCATTAGGCTGGCCCTGCACTTAAATCTGGACAGGATTAAGAGTCTATGCTGCAATTATGTATGTTAAACTAGTAAAACTGTTCTTACAGCTGGAAACAGAACCAACCCATGCTCCACAATGTGAGTTAAAGAAAATGAACATTTTTATCTTGCTTATTTCAGAAGCAGTAGTAGGAAGAAGTAGTTTAGCTGAGGTGGAAATAAAGCACCACACACCACTTCCTTGATTTCTCACTGCTTTTCTATTTTTAGACAGTATTAACAAATTAAGCTCAGGTTGTGTACCCATGGTGGGTATTTTCATACCAGTGACAATGAAATAGGCATATGTGTTTGCATATGTATTTTTTATGCCATTCTTTTGCTGTCAGTTACATTGGTAATTGTGCATTTTGTTACACTGGGCTCTATATACTATGTTTTAAACTGCAATGCTGTAAGACTAAACTCTTTAAAACACTTTTTAAATCATCTCCTTACAATAACTACAGATAATTAATTAATATAAGGTAATACACTGCTTAAAATTGCATGAATGAATTTTGCATATTTTTCAGAACCTTTCAAAATTTGCAAAAAGTGGCATAATGAAAATATTTGAATTAAGACTTTTTAATATACAATATGTTTTAAATCCTGTAAAGAATATATTTTCCTTGCTAGGTGAAATCACCACCATTTAAAAACCTAAACAAAATATAGGCAGCAAAATGTCAAGTTTTATAGTGACTCTATGTTATTTTAATGCCTTTTGTCATTGACAAAATACTGGAAGAGACTCTGGAAAGCATTATAGTCCCCAGTAATAATCCTCAAAACTGAAAATCTTAATGTTGGTTTAGAGCCAAATAGATCATTCAATTCTGTTCTTTAAAGAATATATGGGGTTTTTTAATAACTTTGTTACCCTCTTAGAGTAGTATTTCATTAAAAATATAGTGGATCTAGAGTGGCTTTCTTCTTTGAAAGCAAGCAGATAGTGTGAGATCATATTCACTTTTTCTGCTGAAAATACTTCGTCTTTTGTACTGCTTTTATCTGGTATTTTTATTTGACATATGTAATCAGGCAACACGGACAGTATAATCTTTGGCAATGAGCCATACAGTTACCAAGGTGTGTCCTTGCTGGAGCAAAGCCCACAACTTGCTTTTTGTGACGTGACTCTCGAGTCCTCCCAACACTGGTGATGTGAACCACCTCCCCTACGCGCCCCGGCAGTGCTGAAATGTTTTCTCTCTGCTGTGACACGAGCCAGGCGAATAGAAACCATCAGTGAATTAACTGCATTGTAGTTTGCAGAGAGCTCTCAGAATATGGGCTCATTCTGCTTCCCCACCATGCAATCAATAGCAGCTTTGCTGCTGAATGTGCAGAGAGCCAGCCCATCCCAATAAACGCTGAATCGTGTTATTAGCGAGCGAACAGATGATAGAGGAACGCTGCCAACACCGTGCAGGCAATCTGCCTGGGGGTGGGGAAAGCACCAGTGATTAATAGGATGGGTTTCGATCATCTGGATCAGTTGAGTGATGGCTGCTGATAGAGCTACACCGGCTTAGGCTGGCTGAGGATATGGTCCGCAGGAAATTTAATTTAGGGGATGAAGTAAACAAAAGAGATATATTGTAAACTGCCAGGGCAATAAAGGCAAGAGTGTAAAATGGATTTAGGATGCAGTTAGGCTTTTTATAAAATCAGGGGATTGAATAAGAAGGACAAAGCAAGGAGACAGGGTTGGGAGAAACTCTGAAATCCCAATTGAGCTTAATAAGGATTTGCTATCTCACAATTAATTATTATTAAATTTAAGGTAACAATCAGCTTTTGCTCTTTATGATTTTTGAATTAAACAATCATACTGAATTAAAAGTTACTATTTTAGCCCAAAGAACTGACTCCATTTACTGTTCTGCCAGAAATTGCACAAAACTGCTTCTGGCAAAAGAGGATTAACTCTTCCATGCCATTATTAAGATATCAATTAAAACATCTTTTCTGACAGTAATACACAATATTTTACTTTTATCTGCATGTGTTACACTTTAGCAGACTGACACCATGATCTGCCATTCAGGCCTTCATTGCCAATTTATCAGTTTGGCAAGTTAGTAATTAGCTCTGTCTCTGCTCTTGGAAACAGTACAGCTTTTTATCGCTGGTTTCCCTTTTACTGCTACTGTCCTGCTTTGGCATTCAAATCACAAGCAGAGCAAAAAGCCCATTATTAAGGCTAAGATACAGCCAAGTATTTAAAAACAAATGGCTTAAAACAAAGGGTCAAATTTTCAAGGATGAAACTTGAACTGTGTCTGATTTATCTTTTTTGTTTAGAACAAAGCAAAACCTTCCTTCCTCTTTAAAGGCATTTACCACAGAAGGAACCCAGAAACAACTTAGAAAGAGGAGTGTGCTGCAACTACTCCTCAACACCCATAAAAAGAGTCTGACAAGAAGGATCTGCAGAATTCCAGAGACTTGACTGTGTAGCTCTTTAAGGATACAAATGGAAAAGATGCTGAAGCAGAAGAGATGGTGGGATGGGATGATGATGGGATTGACATATTAGAAAAGCAAACAGCCATTCCAGGAATCCTGTGCAAGGCTGGGACCACTCAAACAAGGGCAAGATCTTGTGGGAAAGAAGATGCATAATTACATAGACCTTAGTCAAAACTGGAGAGACAACCTCTTGGTTCCACTCAGAGAGATGGTACAAAAGGAAAGAAGAAAAACATCTTACATGCCAAACAATAAAGGACTGCCTGTCTGGGAAAAAAAAAGGTCCGAGTTATTCTGGAGTACTGTGAATGCTTTGAAAGGAGCAACACAAATTTCTTTACTAGTGATTGTATGAAATTAGTGCCCACCAAGATATAGGCCTCTGAAAAATGTAATTATTGAATTTTACATCCTAATTATGTTGCTCCATGGTAGTATATATTGAGGTAAACTCAAGAGGACTCACTTGAATATAAGGTTTAATTAAATTTTTGAGACACAATTAAATACTTAAGACAACAAACAATTGCTTGTAATTCAATTTCTGGAACAAATAAATTGTCCAACATATGGAATTTTATTTCACAGTCCTATTTCATGCTCAGTAGCGTTTCTGCATATCAGCAGTTTTACTG